TTTTTTTTTTTTTTTTTTTTTTTTTTTTTTTTTTTTTTTTTTTTTTTTCTGTAAGAAAACTTGTTTTCCTCTCTCCAGTGCGACAATTGGAAGATTTAAGAAGGCAGACAGAGAAGGAAAGAGAAGTGAAATGTGAGGAAGCTGCAAAAGAGTTGAATAACGTGAGGTTGGAGGTTGAATCAATGAAGCTTGATTTAGAACAAAGGCAAAAAAATGTTGAAGCAGTGCTCATGGAGGTTTTGTTTTCTCTTCAATCTTACTTTTCAAAAGGATTCAGTCTAATCCATTTAATGCTCATGACAAGAATTCTCTTTTACTTGTTTTGCTCTTAATTGTGGTGGTAGGTTGATGCTCTGACTTCAAAAACAAATTCCCTGAGAGAATCTAATGTCCATAAACAGCAAGAACTACTGCATAAATGCGAGAATATTATGAAAGAGGTGAACACCACAATCTATGCTTTTTAAAAAATGGGAAACAGAAAATCATTGTTTCAATTCTATATTTAGTTCCGGAAATGTTTCTTAACAACAAAAATAAATAGTCCGTTAACATTTTGATTGCAGTTTCACCAATATACAAACTCGTTTGGGGCATTGATGGAAGTGAAGCCATAAGAGGAAGAGGAGCAGACACATTCCAGTAGATGATTGTCCACTGTTAAGGTCAATTTCTAGCAATTTCTAGTCTGTTACCTTTTGATTAAGAAATTGAGCTTTTGCTCTAATCCATATATATATATAACCCCTTATTGGAGCTTCTGCCTGTTCAGTATGTATAATTAATGATAATCAATCAGCTCCATAAACTGTTCGTTTGTAAGATTGATTTGGAGTTTGCTTCTGGTGAGTTCAATAGAAGTAATTAGTTAAACGAAGTGTTAGATCCCAAGATTTTCTTCTTCTAAGGACCATTTTCATCGTAAAGAACTTGCTCAGTGAGTGAAAACTAATCATAAGCTTTGGAAAAAGAGCTAGAAAACACTTCAAGATTATTATGATTATTATAATTATAGTATATTGTTTTTTTTTTTAGTCCAAACTAATAATTGTATGCTAGAATCAATTTACACTTTTTTTTTTTTTTTTTTTTTTTTTTTTTTTTTTTTTTTTTTTTTTTTTTTNCTATGTATTGAGACTTACCAAGTAGAATGAAGCTCCTAAACTTTCATTAACTTTTAAATGAATCAAGTTTATGAAAGTTCGTGAGGTTAATTAATATAATGGAAACTCTCTATACATATAAATACTAAAATTTTCAAACATAGGATATAAATTGATACATTTTGATGTTCCTTTGATTCACAATGTTGCCAATTTGATCACAGAACACCGTATAAATATTAAAATTTTCAAACATAGGATATAAATTGATACACTTTGATTCACAAGGTTGCCAATTTGATCCCAGAACACCGTGGCCTAATCTCTAGTGATTGTGTTGATCCTCAAGTCGACAACGAAGAACAAGTTGAATCTTACTCTCATCACTCTTGCACTACTTGTGACTTAAAAACTACTTGTGACTTAAAAAGTTATGTAACCTTACTTTTAAGCAGTAGATCATATATAATTTGGTCTAAAAATCGAGTCATTCATTCAAAAAAAAAAAAAAAAAAAAAAACTAAAGGTTTGATCCAAAGGTAAATTGACAAAAGCCCTAAAATTTTATCATATATTGACGGTAAAAAATATTTAATTTGTCATTTCAGTCTTCAAGTACTTTAAAAAAAAAGTAATAAAGAATGAAAAAGAGTATTTAAAACAATATTATCCATTGATAAGTTAGTGTTCAATGGCAAAAACTACGATTTACCCTATACTCCATTAATGATCAAAATCTTATATGCTGAGTTTTGCGTGGTGTTTCTTAATGTTTACATACAACTATACAAGTGCATTATTTACTTGGTCGAAGTTTAAATATGCTTGGCAAGAATTTATACAACTATTGTGGTTCTTGGACAGGGATAGATGAGAAGGAACAAGCTGAGGCCTCAACCTTGGTCTTATCATCTCTGACCTTCATCCATGACACCTTCCAAATCCTATATAAACTCTGCCTGCAAGACATCACAAAACAAGTGTTCATAAAAAGGCTTATAATGCAATGATATTGAAATGGTAAAGTATGCAAGTTATGGATGAAAGTACAGTATGGTCTTGTGATAAATGGAAGAAAGAGCATACAATTTGGGAAACATTCCAGCTATGCTACTTTCCTAGACCCAGATATTCTCCCATGATTTGACCAATTTCTTGCAGACAAGGTAAGAGGAACAGTAATAACTTATCCTGATCACCAAAGACCACATCCACTCCTCTACCACCTCAATATCTAATTTGTGGAAATTGATCCCACCGGGGTAGGCTACAAAAAGCGCCTCCAATCGGCTAAAAGAGAAGATAAACTGTAGATTTGAAAGGAGTGAGAGACAGAGGATATGTTGTCCATAGAACTATCAGAAGATTTTTCTAAGGTGATGATGAGCAAACCATGTGAATCTCTTGGGATGACAGAGCACCATCTAAAAGAGAAAAACATCATAATCCAAAAAGATCTCAAAGAGATATCCCATTACAGAGATATACATATCATAAGAATGGAGCATTCATGTTCCATTAACAATGATATCAGACTTGGGGTAAAGTAAGAACATAAAGGTGGGAGGAGATAGAACAAGGTCAAACCAACTCGACCAATGCCAGATACCTAAAATTTTCAAGGTTTGTACCATGACCCATACTTTTATGGAAAATATAATATCTACATCATTGGGTCATCCTTGCAACAAGGAAAAGAAGCTCCTTTAGATGCAGTTCTTCAGGGCTTTCTTCCAGCTTACTTGGCAAGAAAGGTATCGAAAGAATCTTCCAAGATAAGGATATTCCTTTTGACCCCTTTGTTGGCAAGAAAATGAAACAAAAGGTGCTTTAGCATTTCTTCTGTTTTATCCAACTGGATAAGGTCTGTGTAACTACCTTGGGTTGCGGCTTATTGGAGTTTAACAACTCCTTTTTGTAATTTCATATCCTCAATAAAATTGTTTCTATTATATATATAAGCTAAAAATCCTATAAAATCTAAAACATGCAAATAACAAGATCCTATTCAAACATAGTTTCAATTCCATATCAGAAATGAATAAAAACAGAACTGCAAGAGAAATGTCAGACATTTGCATAATTACTTCTACTTCGTCTCATTTTAGTATTTCAGAGTTACTTGAAGCATTTCCACGAGTACGCACTTCCAAAATAAATCATTGTTGCATAAACAATGGCAAGCTTAAAACAATTAGAAGAACAGAGAGCAAGAAATACTTGCCTTTCTGGTTCAATTGTTCGCTTAGCAAGCATCAAAGTTAAGAAGACAGGAACCATAGCAGCACATAAGTGCTTGAGCGTGTGACCACTAACAATATGAAACGTCCAATTATATATCAGTTTATCGCTAGCTTCTTCTACCTTTGCTAATAAATAAAACCCTGCAAGTATAACAAAGTATCCACGATTACATATTACCAACAGTTAACACTAATGCAAGACATTAAACAGCAACAGAATACCTTAAAGCAGAAACTGACCTGCAGCCCAAAGCCAGTAGGTGGAATGTGTATACATTGGAGGTAATAAAATAGTCATTAATGGAATAGCAATACAAGGAAGAAACTGGACAAGTGCATATGGGCGTAGATCATCAAACAAGCTGCAAAAGACATAGGTCAATCATGTACAGCAAGAAACCCAGATCAGAAATTCCCTGAAGTACATTCCATAATCAAGCTGGTATTTCTAGCATTTAAATGTTGAGATAACCATTAACCTCCGAAAGTTTGAAGGCAACATTTGAGATCTTTTCTACTGCATTTTGATCATCCAAAAGTCAAAGAAGATTCGTAATTCTCAAAAGCTAGACAGTTAATTTGTACTACAAATAACACACAAGCTCAGATAGCAGTTCGAACAAGAATTGCATTTATAACGTTAATAACGGCATTACTTGGTCTTTGGCTAGCATACAGTGTTTTTACAAAACAAAGTCAAACCTATCATTCCCACTAAACCATTAATGTTGCATTACTCCATGACTCTAATAATCTGGACTTTAATACCAAAACCAATTTTTCAATAATATAAGATATAGTATTCCAAACTGTTTACAATAACAATGCCGAGTTTAACTAGTAAAATGCTAACTGTTAAAAGAAAATTTGAAAGCACTTACCACCAATATAAAATGCTAACTATACCGACCAACAATAAAGGCACGATGGACAGTGTTCCCTTCTGCTCATCAATTCTTTCAATAATAAAGATTGAGATGATCGAAGTGAATGCAATGGTCATCTACAATTTCCAGAAGAGTAAATGATTCAAAATTACAATATACTGCTTGCAATACGATTAGATGTTTGAAATAATCTATATAAGCAATGCTCCATAATTGGGGAAGTGACTCACAGGTAAACGATCCCAAACAAGGCGTGCGTCGTTTGGCTCAAGATGATAATACGAGGAGCCAAAGGCTACAAGAGCCACGCCAATATAAAAACAAGTCCAACCATAAAGCTCACCTTGCAAACTGTGGAAAACATGATCAATTTAAAATTAATATGGCACAATAAATTACTTCATCATAGAAGATCAAAAAATTAGGAAAGATAATACACAAAAGATATCAAAAGAAAATGCACCTCAGCCTAAAGTAATTCTCACGATAACAAAGGACAAGGCCTATGAGACCGATAACCAAGAAGGGAAAATTCGAGACCACGTTAAGAGCATTAGGTATACCTGAAAAAAAGGAAAAAGCCAAAACTTTGAGATCAATATTTAGCAAAACATATATATACTACAAAAATTGAAAAAGAAAAAAAGTAGAGACCCAGATCAAGCATCAACGTGAAACTCAAACTATCTATATATACCTCAAGGTTTACATCTTCTCTAGATTGAAAGAGGACTAAGCCTTCTTCTGATCATAAGAGGCTTGTAACTTTTTAGATTAATCGTGGTTCTTCTTTTGTAAGTGAACTAGGAAGTTCCTTTTATGGTTTTTGGAACATACTTATCAAAAGAATTAAATAAGAGTGATGATTCTCACTATGATCGTTACATGTATGATGCTAGAAATAATTGAAACAATCACATTAATAAATAGGTGCATTCACAGTTATCTTCATGCTAAATTTTTCGCTTCCTTTTAACCATCAGAAGAATAATATTAATTTAATGCAATGCTAATACAACATGAGTTATGGAATTTGATTCATTTCTACTTTGATCACCGACTTATGCCTGCCTCTTCAAGGGAATGAATCTAGAGAATGTCTTCAGTCTTTTAAAACATCCATCCCAAGTCATGTTAAAAATTGAAAAGCGACCCAAAACCAATCTGAGCGACAGTCAGAAGATCTGTATTAAGGATTCTCTTTAAAAAAAAAAAAAAGAGAGAGATTAACTATCATACTTGACTTATGGAATTACGAAACAAAGGCTCCGCACCATTGCGATGAGGAAAAACACAAAAGAACTACATCCAACAGCAAGAAATTGATCGGTTCAACCCTAGAATTCCATATGGGATCGCTTCTAAAACTCCTATTTCTCTACACAAGTCATATCGGAATGAAAGTGCGATAGATTACACGTAAACAGAGGATAGGCATTTCATTAATAGACGGAAAGAATCAGAAACGCAGATGATATAAAAAGGAAAGGGAAATTAACCGAGAAATCGGCGATGATCGGCGAAATCATGGTACTCCTGCGACTGAGGGATTGAAGGGGTAACAATCATCAAAACAACGAAGCAAACAATTGCTACAAGCCAAGCGTAAATGGTTGTTTTATTCATTTTGGTCAGATTTCTGAAGGTGCGAGCTTCTTCTCCAGATCTTCCACTCTTGTTTTTTCTTCCAACTCTGCAATTGTTGTTGGAAATTTGGAATTCGGAGACGGACGGATGAAAGTCTCCGTCCGCTCTCCAAGTGTGGTTCATCATCAATGGGCCGAGAACGAACAAACTGCGAATTGGGCTTTCCAGTCCTACAGCTTCTTCTTTTTTTAATGACAAAAATACCCTTTTAACACCTGACCCGTGAAAAATGAAATTTTTTTAACTCTTATAATAAAAAGGATTATTAATGATCTGCAGATGATACACACATGTAGTTAAATATTGTTTCTAAATTTTTTTAAAATAAGAACTCACCGAGGTCGAACATATAGAGATTTAGATTTAACATATGTGACGGTAAATTCGAGAGTTTTTGTTCGTTTTTTTTAATGAGATTTTGATCCGATGTCCGTTTAGTTCTTAAACTTTAAATAATATTCTTTACTCATAGTTTATAATTCCAATTTGGTCAAAGAAAGGTAGACTTCCATAGTAATCCAATATCCTAAATAAAGGGAGCAGAGTTGCATCTCGAAAGCATGTGATTCATTCTCCCCGAGACACTTTTACACGATTCATTCTCCCCGAGGCACTTTTACACAAAACACACCACCACCAAGGGCCACACAACAGAAGGTCTCTCTCTACATCAAATCGTGCCCTTGGCCTACTCACGTAACGGTGAGATCCCACATCGGTTGGGGAGGAAAACAAACCAACGAGGACGCTTGCCCCCAAAAGGGGGTGGATTACGAGATCTCACATCAGTTGGGAAGGAGAACGAAGTATTCTTTATAAGGGTGTGGAAACCTTTTTCTAATAGACGTGTTTTAAAAACCTTGAGGGAAAGCTCGAAAGGAAAAGTTCAAAGATGACAATATCTGCTAGTGGTGGGCTTAAGCTATTACACGTCCTCCTCTCTAACCTATGCATAATCGCAGGGCATCGGGAAACACTTAAAAGAAGTTCAAATTCTTATGCTAAAATCCCTAGCTCACTACCTAGGCAAATAGTAAAAAAAAAAAAAAGTGGTTTGATATTGTAAATACAGTTGAACTACAAGCAAACCCCGATGATATGCACAAACAGGGTTCCAAAACCATCAGTCTAAGTATCTGTATCTAAACATTATTAAAAGAAATATAGAGCATTGGATCAAGAACAATGAACTAGCAACAATTATTGTACACTACGTCGAGGCAAGTTACTTGAGCTGTTGGACAGTGGTGGTTGTCCAGCCAAAAAGGGAACTTCAACGACCCTACCAATGGTGTTTTCTCCAACAATTACTGTGTCTCCACAGGAAGCAGCTCGCTTCTTGATGTAGCCAAGACCGAAATGCTCCAACCCTTTTCTTCCTGGTGTATAGCTTGTCAGCTTTCCCACCTACACACAATTTCAATCAAAACGTATACATATTCAACCTAAAACATGGTCATGCAGTTCAGAAATTTCATGCTCATGCAGAGGCAAAGGGCAGAAATTCTTCGGTGACAGCTCTTAGGAGTTTCATAAAGCCTATGAAATCACTCTTGAGAAAGGAAAAAGAGGTTCATGAATTGGTTGGGGTTTGACATAATATTCCCTACCCGAATAGTTATATACTGCTAAGCCGTTGTTGTTGCCTTTGCTTGCATGCTATATAACACCGTTTTTAATCTCTCACTAAATCTTGCTTTTAAACTCTCTTTCAAAAATCTCTCTGCTCCCGTTTTCTAAAACCTTCTACTTAAATCAGGGCCAGAGGCTCGAGCATACGTTGTCTGGCCGTAGGCAACGCACAAACGAATTGGCTTAACTCACTTGTCGCTGAGAAGTGAGTATCGCACCAGCGATGGTCCATATTAAAAAATGCAAATAGCTACCTTTTTCCCATCAATAGTTATTGGGCTGCCAGGTTCCACTGAATCTGATAGTTGAAGTCCCCATAATCTCTGTTTTACTCCATCATATGTAATTAGTCTAGATATGGTCTCTTGTCCCTTGTAACAACCTACAGAGATTAAAAATTGAATAATCGATCCATGCTAGGTGTGTGATGAAATTTTATGGCAAGAAATGAGTACCCTTGTTGAGAGAAATTGAATTCCAAAGACCAGCTTCGAGTACATTGAACTCGTCAGTAAGCTCTTTCTGAGGAGCTGGCATACCTGCAAAACTTACTCAAATTATCAAGTGATACAAGAGTTCACGGTATCACAGGAGCTCCAATCAAGCAAATTAAGACTTGGCTACATCCACAGATATTGAGAGAAAAATGGTATAATCAAGAAAGATCTCCAAGAAGTAGGAAGAACGGACGCTACTAAGGGAATCCTCATAGAAGAAAAATGGTATAATCAAGGAAACAAAGAGCAAAAATGGTGTATCTCCCAACCACTTATCCTCCCAAATGTATCAAACTCATCACTCTTGACCAATGAACAAACTAAAAGAAAAAGAGAAGCCCAACAAAGATAGCTTTCCATGGATTTCTTGAATTGTCTTACAAAGACCCACCTAAAATCCACTCAAAACAACGGGTCCATACTTGTTTACAATGACCTTATTCCATAAGGTGCTAGGCTCCTGCAAAAAGCAGTACGACGATTTAAATAACAAGGCCTCATTTCGTGCCCTTAAATTGCCTGTACCCACCAAGATCCAATGGCTTAGCCTCCACATCCCACACTCTGATTGAGATCTCATAAACCTCCTTCCATCAGAAATCCCTCATAAGCTTCTCCAAAGTTCTATTGATCAGATTGGTGACCCTAAACAAAGAGAGAAAATAAGTCGAGACACAACTCAAAACCAACGGATGGTAAGTCTACCGCCTTCAGAGAAAAAACTTTTCTTCCAACATACAAACCACAAACTGACGGTGGGACAGGAAGTAAAAATTACCCACACCCAACTAAACAAGAAAGGAGTATCCATCCATAGAGATGAATTGTTAACGCATAGAGATGTCTGCAAACCGTTGACAACTCAGGCCAACTAGTACCAAGATGGAGAATAGCACTGGCGCTGTTGATAGAGAGTCTAATAAAAAAAAATCTCATTGATAATGCTTAAACATCTATGGAATGAACCTAGAGTATTCTTTAAGCTATTATAGTTCTTTAGTTCATACACCTTTGGAAAGATTAGGCATCTGATTAAACATACTCCCAGTTAGAAATGAACAGAAAAAAAAAAAAAAAAAAGGTAAAGCGTCAAAAATAGTTTAGACGTTGAATTAGATTATCACGTCAGGATGCTTGTTGAGTCACAACTACAGATTAACAGTGTCCACAGTAAAGGATCATATTGATCAAAATTCACATAAGGCACTAAAATTTCAAGTGCACAAAACAACATTGAACCAGAACACCAAAGAGCAGAAAAAGGTTGAGGGATGTACACCTTGAAATATCCTCAGCTTTTCCCATGCGTCTGAGCCCATTGGAACAGCGCCTAGAGAAACTAGAGTTTTCCATACTGATCCAGACACAGCAGGTGATATCAACAGTGAAAAACCTTCTTCAGAAATGATATTTCCCACCCCAACGGTAATTGGCATACCATTAACCTGCACAATAAGATTCCAAATTTCATTGGTAACATCTACATATTTCCAAACTGTGTAATTTAAATCCAGATTAGTAATGCTAGAACAAAAGAGCTTTTATAATTAATTTTTCAATAAGTTTTTGTCGCCCCTTGAATGTTAGGGGAGTGTTTCTGTCACATCTCAATATTTTAACATTGATTCTCATTAGAAAAAGAAAGGAAAGTAATGCTAGATAGCTTTAATTAGAAATAAAAGCTTACACTAAAGTGCTGATGTGTTCCATATGGTTCTCCAGCTATACTACCAAGGTTCAAAGCCTCCATGATCTGCTTGCATTTGAGGGTTAATTCAAAAATTAGTACGTGAAAACCAGAAATAAGAATAAAAACAATATTGCTTGTACATGAAAACTGCATAGTGCTCTTTTACTTGGTTACTTTTAGGTCCCACCAACACCAACAATGATGTTTGCTTGGTAATATCTTGAATCTCTACTTTGTCCGCCAAAAATATGTACCTAGTAAAAAATTCTTTTGTAAACTTACGAATAATAAATGGTATACATAGAAAAGAAAAAAACAACTTATATGCATAAATCAAATATACACACAAATATATGACATAATATATATTCAAAGACGTGTGCAACTTAATACGTTTTAGCCTCCATAGACACGAATTCAGGGACGAAGTAAAGATATCGTATTTCTTCTATATTCAAATCAAATACAAGGTCTTCTTATTTAGAACAAAGATCCTCTACCAATAAGGAAAAATATCACAAATATAAATAATAAATATAGAACTATAATACAAGTTAATAAATATAGAACCATGATATTTACAAAAGACCATCCCAATTTACAATGGGGGAGGTCTAACTATAGGAAGTAAAAATATTAGATAGTTTACACCAAGATATAGCTTGGTCAACAACATTGTCGACAAGTTTTGTAGAAATTTTTTTTGCGAATATTTTTTTATTCTTCTCTTTCTACAGACTCCAAAGGAAAGTCATGATGAGATTTTTCCACAATAAGACTTTTGTATTCTTGAAAGGGTGGTACGTTAAGGTCATGTTTAATAGATCCTTTACCTCTCTAGGAAATGTGAGATGTCATACAAATATATTGAGAATCGTTGTCCAAAAATTCTTAGCATATGTGAGATGTGAGATGTCATGCAAGTAAGTGGCTTTGTGATTTGTTGCCTTTCTTGCACAATGGACACCAATTTGGAGAAAGAGTGGTTTAGGAAGAAATAAAGATATTGTGTTTTTACACCACATTTCGTTTGCTGCTCTTATGCCAACTTGAGTTTAGGAAGCAATAAAGATATTGTATTTTTTTTATATTCAAATCAAATACAAGGTTTTCTTACATATATAAACAATAAATATAGATCCATAAATAAATAATGGAAAGTCCGTGTAACATTCCTTAGAATAATCAAATAAATTATGTTGTTTTCCTATCTTAAGTTGGACCAATGGATGAAATAAATTTCTGAAACTCTCAATTTCATCAACCTATATGACACTATAGTTTAACATGAAACTGTGTACTCAAATCCT